ACCATCGTCTTCTTCCTGGTGATATTAAGCACAAGCAAAATTGCATGGAATGTTCCATTTGCAAGAACGATAAGAACCCTCGCCGACACTTCAACAAGAACTTACCCAAGAAAGAAGTTTCCTTGTCCGTTGGTGAGGGCTACTCTTTTGATGGGGCAGACTTAACTCATATCTCCCATCAGGGTTTTCGCTATGTGCTTAACTTTATCGACATTGTCAGCAAGACGAGAGTCGCTTACTATGTGAGGTCTAATGCAACACATGAGTTCCGTGAAGCACTTGAGTATGTGAAAACGTACTCTAAGCAATTCACCGGCAATGAGCTGAAATACCTGTACTCAGACATGTTTTCAACTTACATGGAGTTTAGAAGTGACGATGGCATTGCTGCATTTCGCAATGAAACTGGAGTTACCCTGGAAGTGTGCACTCCTTACATGCATTGGAAAAATGGTGAGGTTGAATCCTCCATTCATGAATGTAAGAAAGGGACTAGGGTCCGTCTCCGTAATTTCAATCAGCAGCTAGCTCGCTTGAAGAATCATCGATACATCAGAGACACAAACGACTACTGGCCATGGGCTTGGGAACACACGTGTCAAAGCTTTAACTCACTCGCGTCTGTAGCACTAGAAAAACGTTACGGTGTAGTTCTAACACCCTGGCAACTGTTTACTGGTGACACTGGCCATCACAAACTGACACTCCAGCCTTTTGGCGAATTCTGTTACAGTCTTGTACAGAAAGAGAACCGCGATGGGTCACTCGGTGAAGTTAGAGAGTCAGCGTATTTCCTCATCCATGGGCGGATGAACTCGTTGAAGAACAAATTCACAGACATGCCCAGAGCGCAGGTATGTCTGTTCAATGATGGCAAGATTCGAACCACAGGCTCTGCGATCTTCCCATACGAGCTATCCAATGAACTTCATGATGGAACCAGGAAAATAATCTTAGATCCTGCTTTACCACAGCCACCTGAAGAAGAAACGGCGGATGTCTCTGATGGGCATGGCTGGACTCAGAGGACAATTCATCGCACCTCAGACGAATTCCAGCAAACCCTGTCCGATATCGACATGGACCTAAATAAGGACCCGGATCCCATGCAGATAGATCGGCAAAGAAACAAAATAGCCAAGACACATGACGTGCCTAGGAAGTCATATGTTCCGGACCCAAGTGACTATCCGGATACAAAGGACAACCCGAATGAAGCGGCTTTCTCTCCAGAAGAGGAGGACTCCGGGGGAGAGGCTGACATGGAACATGGTCAGCAGAAAGAAAAGAATGACATGGAACATGGTCAGCAGAAAGAAAAGAATGAAACCCACCCACCCGTCCCTGAAGAACCCATGCGATATGGGGCCGATGGCGACTACGATCAAGACGACACATATGAGCAGGCGCACAAGGATATACCGCTTGAGTGCCGGCCACTCCCGTGGCACCTGCGTAAGCGCCGGCGTTCGCCGGTTCAACGTTTCAGCTTCGGCACTGACATCAGCAGGGCGGACTCTCGTTGGGACGAGTCTCTGCTTGTGATTCCTTCTATTGGCGAGTTACTCGAGGCGAATGCTGAGGTTTACGTCATGCCTGGCGCAACTCATCATGTGCGTGCTCACACTCGCTATAAAGCGTATCGACGCGGCAAGACCCTGCCGGAGTATTTCGCTTACGGCGGTACTCACGAGGACTACCGAAACGATGTTTGGTATGGCATTCTGCGCTTCTTGGACCCTGAGCTCTATGCTCTGCAGTACTCTCGCGGAGCTAACTGGAGCAAGCTTAGCTCCGGGGGAGAAGAAGATATGCCCAGGATGGCAGGTGAAGCTTACGCTTGCTATTATCAGTCAGACTCAGCAGAACCTCCGATAGTGCCAGATAAATCCTCTCTTTGCGACGAGAAACTTCTACGCGAGGCAAGAATACAGCGGAATCTCGTAGAGGACTACCAGCGTGCCAATATGTTAGGCATGACACATGATCAGTACCATACAGTCAAGTATGACTCTTATAGTTTGGTGAAGAATCCAGAAGCTCATTATGCAACTAACTACGATGTTCATGAACAACTAGTGGACTACCTTACTCTCTTGACAAATCAAGTCATTGAGAATACTGAGGATGGTGCAGCTGCGATTCCACAGGCTACAGAGATCTTCTTAGCCCTATACACTGTCACTAAGGAAGACATTCGAATTGATACGAGCAAGCTAGCAGACC